CATGCTCACCAGTAGTTGCAAACTCAGCAATTCTGGTCAAACTGTTTTCCATAAGAGTTATGTTGGCTCCATTAAATGTGGCTGGAAGTTGACCTCATCAACCTGACAGTGCACTGATATCAAGCAGGCTCGTGTCGAGACGGTGCCTCAGTGATAGCGCTAACTGGATAACACACTGCAAACAAGGCAGATTGTAGGACTCTGCAGTGTGTTGCTAGCTACTGAAAGTTAACATAATCTCAGCTGCAAGGGCTCTCAATCTGTCCAGTTCTGTACACTCACTAATGTGACTGCTAGCATAACTCCGAGGCTTTTAGCCGTGCAATGCAAACACCGCCTCATCCTTCGTTGGCCTTCAAACTAAACATCTCTATGCCTTGTTTCTAGGCAAGTTGTGATTGTATGGGTTTAATGATCCATTGTTTGTGTAATTCTCTTGGACTTGGCCTATTCAAGGGGATATGTCCACCAGACCATGAAGAAATGGAACTGAATACTTGCCTGGCAGCGTTGTTATTCACAAAGTCCCACTTGGCGAACCGCTGCAAATTTCCCATTTAACTCAATTCTATTTTCGATTAACCAAAACCATTCCCAAATGTAGAAAACGTGCAGAAAGTCCCCTGTTTGAAAAGAAGCAGCGGGGCAAGAGGATGGGGAAGGTATGGGGAGGAACAAAGGAATAATCAAAGGTTAGAAATAGAGAAAGCAAATGAAGTTAAAATGTAGGAAAGTGGGAAAGAAAGAGAAGGAGAGTGTGATAGATGGATTGAAATCACACCATTGCAAATGGTGGAATTTATATTCAATAAAAATCAAGAACAAAAAGCCTAATGATGACCGTGAAACCATGTTGCATTGTCATAAATGCCAGCTAGTTCCCTAATATCCTTTAGGGAAGGACACTACTATCCTACATGTGACTCCAGACTCACAGCAATGTAGTTAACTCTCAACCGCCTCCTGAAATTTAACAATTGTAACAATCACTACAAGGTCTCAAAAACAGAGTGAAACTGGACGTACCACATAGGCATCAGAAACAAAAACAGCAAACACAGTCCTACCACTCCTTACTGACATCTGGGAGCTAGTGCCAAAACTAGAGATCTAGAAGGACAAGGGCAGCAGATACGTAGGAACACCACCATCTATAAGTTCCCCTCCAAGTCAGTCACCACACTATACACTCTCTCTCTCTCTCTCTCTCACACACACACACACACATACATACATACACAGACACACACACACACTTACATACACACACACTCACACATACATACATACACAGACACACACACACACACACATACACACACACACACACACTCACACATACATACATACACAGACACACACACATACATACACACACATACACACACACACACACACTCACACACACATACACACACACACAGACACACACACACAGACACACACACATACATACACACACACACACATACTCACACATACATACACACACACATACACACACACACACACTCACACACACATACATTCACACACACACACATACACACACACACATACACACACACACACTCTCTCTCTCCCACACACTCACTCATACATACGCACACACATTCTCTCACACACACACTCTCTCTCTCACACGCATGCACACATTTCAATCTATGGGGTGAATTTGCATTTGCAGATTTGTAATTGCAGATACATCCTATTTTGTTCAAAAAGCACACAATTTGTAGACAGCCAAAGTGGCATTTTATAAATTCCTATTTTGGCAATAAAACCAGTCTGACTCCAAGTCAAAACGCAGATAGATTCCAAACAAGGCCTTACACCTAAAATGCATTGTGTGACCTGAGATGTCACCTGAGATGTCACACTGATAAAACCTTTAGTTATCTCAAAGCATTGACTTAAAAGAAATTCTGGGATTTGCATATTAATCAATTTAAACCTGTATCTCCTGTCTAACTGATTAAAGATTAAGAGCCATCTTAGGTTTGTTCAATACATTCGCATCAGTTCTATGACCCTTTGATCTTTTGCCTATCAATTCTGTGCCTGATGCCACCTCTCACACTAACACCTGAAGAAGGAGCGAGACTCTGAAAGCTTGCGTTTTCAAATAAACCTGTTGGACTATAAACTGGTGTAGTATGATTTTTAACCTTGTCCACCCCAGTCCAACACCGGCACCTCTACATTGCAGTTCACAAAGGCAGTTCACCACCACCTTCTCAAGAGGCTATCATGGTGAGGTCAATAAAAGCAGGCCCTGCTGGTGACTCCCACATCCCATGGAATGAGCAAATGAATTGGAAGGTGAAAGGCAATGGAAAAGAAGGAATGAGAAAGAGAAAGAGGAAGGACAGGGGGCAGGGAAAGGGAGCTGGGGAGGTATCTTTGCTCAGGAAAGAGACTTGACTTCTCATGGTATGATTGAACTTTGGGTGGAGTGCTGAGAACGGAGGACCTGAGGGCGAGGAGGTACAGCCCTCTTGCAGGGCAGCCTGGAACCTTCCAGAAGCTGGGCCAGCTCAGATAATGTGAGGAGCTCACATCATGTGGAAATATAAATATGTTAATGACGACCATCTCCCTTCACTGAGTGAGGTGTTCAAAGCCACTGGCTCCATTATAAAACCTACAGAGTAATGACACATTTGAGAAACTGCTCAATGCATCAAGGCCTTATATTAGGACACTAAAATAGAAAAGAATTTCGGACCAGTCCAAGATTCAACTGGTCTTGACTGGTATTCATTAGTTTGGAACTGGTCTCAGCTGGAGCTGACTAATTTACTGGCAATGCAACTCCAATTCAGTTGACTCTCAGACTGTACCCATCCCATGTCAGCTACCTGAACTTTAATTGTCTACTGTCTCAGGATTGGATATGTTCACTCGATAATAATGTGTCTGATCAGCCTGTTTATCGTGTCATATCTGCACCTTTGTTTGCAAAGAATTACAATTACACAAGCAACAATTTCAAAGGAGGTTTGCAAGTGTTGACAGATATACATTATCTTAATTGTCTCTTGAGAATAAACTGAGAATTTGTGTGAAATAATATATTCGCAATACATATTTATATGTGGGGGGTGTCAGAGTGGGAGATGGGGTTGTCAGAGTGGGGGAGGAGATTTCAGATTTGGGGAGGGGTTGTCAGAGTTGGGGAGGGGGGTTCAGAGTGGGGGAGGGGGTGTCAGAGT